AACGGCTTCCGGGCCCAAGACGTTGTAAGAGACAGAATGAAAGTGAATGAGGTACCTTCATTGCCACGTTCACGTCAATGGAAAAACTGACACGTGTCAACTGCAACAACGTCCATTAGGGTCCCCTTGGCAGAGGTGCTTTATACCCATCGCGTGCAACGTATATTGCTAGCTAGCTCTTGAGCTTACATGCTATGCAAGCACCGATATGCGTTAAGTACATCCGCGTACATGCCTGGCCAGAAGTATCGAGATTTAATCTTGTTATACGTCTTGTCAAATCCAAGCGTGACCATGGTAGAGATCATCGTGCGTGGTGCCGTAGACTATTTCGCGCTACGAAAATACCCGCGGAATAACTAGCTGCATACACGCCGCTGATCTCGCGTAGGCGGCATGACATGATGTGCATTGCCAGCTTCATCTATCATGCACGTCAGACAGAATCTGCTAATCTTTTATAGCAGTCGTCGCCGATGTTACGAGTGCTGAAAATACTGTGTAGCTGGCGGGTCAACTCTCTGTTCTCCTTGCATTCCCTGTAAGTCCACAATTAGCTGGTGATTTGTAGTGAGAATTCTCCTGTGCACCGCTGCTTCTCCGTGCTGCGCAGGCTACGGTTTTCCTGCTGCATCGCTGCCGCCGCTTTCCTGTGTTCTGCCCTCCATGAGACTTTCTGCCTCCTCGACAGGTTCCGGGCTTAGTCTCTGTCGCTTCCTGGGTAGTCTACCTGTTGTATTTCTTGTTCGACTGACATGCGTCAGTTTGATGCGCGACAGCGCATCTGCATTCCTGTTGGCAACTCCACTTCTAAACTCAACAGTTGCGTTGATGCTCGCTATAACGTTAGACCATCGAAGCAGTTTTGCATTTTTTAGATTTGGACAGTGAGAGTAAATACTTCAGAGTTTATGGTCACTGACAATAACGAACTTGCGCTCCAGCGAGGTAGGGCCGCAATTTGGCACAATGCAAAAATAATTGGCGAACGCCCTTCCCTCTCTATAACTTGGCCAACGATCTGTCCTTATTCAACTGCATGACTAACGTACTGGATCACAAAACTTCCTGTCCTTCACTCATCTGTGCTGCAGCGAGTACTGCACCGACTTGGCCGTAGAGGAAGCGTCTCGTAAACAAACGGTACTCTTTATCCTGTATCTGCGATAAGCCAATATCGGGGGCGTTCAGTAAGCTTTCTGTTTTAATAGGCAGAATGCCGTGTTCCGCATCGGCCATCCAAGCAAACTTTGCGCGTACTTGTGCTGTGAGTGCGTCGTTAATGGCTTCGCGCATCTGCTAGCGATAAGATTTGATATGAGCCCTGTAGTAACTTGCCATCCTAAGAATGAGCGTACTCTCCTGTTGGACTTGTTGTCGGCCGATTTGTTGTTTAATGACCTTGAACCTTGTCTGGATCCGTGCTATTCAACGGGTGAGACGACCGTGCCAAGTAACTTGACTTTACTCTGAGAACGCACACTTAGATGCTTTTAGCTTTGAGTCCTGCCGTTGCGTAGTCTGTCAAACACCTCTTGCGATATCGCGCCACTATTCTC